GATTAGTGAAGGTACTAAAACTAGACAGGGTATAAAGTCAAAATTTAGGAACTAATCTTCTTGTCCCACCCTACTCTGGGGCTGCTAAGCACTTTAGTTTAGGGAAGTTACTGCCTTGGATATCAGTTGTTATCAGTTGTGGCTCCCAGGAGGGGCAACGTCTGTGACCTAATGCCAATTGAGCTACATCTGAGCTCTCTCCTTTGTTCAATTTTAAGTTAGAGTCTTACTCTGTAGCCCAAGTCGACCTGGAACTCATTATTTACCTTAGGCTGGCCTCAAACTCAGACCACTTTGCACGTGCCACCACCCAGGCTTAAGTTTATGGACAAGGTCTTTGACCTTGAACTTCTGTTGAAGAATCTCGAGCAAGCTCTTACTCCTCCTTGGCTTCCTGAGTGAGGGACTGGTAGGCCTCAGGACCTCGCTGGGCCAGGAAGGCCTTTTTACCCAGAGGCCATCTCCTCTTCTGGGAAACCACCAGAATCTGGGGCTGATCTCTCTAGATAAACAGGAGGACAGGAGGGGCTGTACAGAGATTACCAGTAAAAATCACTAACGGATTAGGAAATGGGTGTGGTAGCATCAGCCTTTGAAGCAGTCCAAAAGAAGAAACAGGGGGTCTCTGTGCCTTTAAGGTCCACTGAATGCATTCCACGCCAACCAAAGCTAAAGAGTGAGACCTTGTCACAAACAAAACCAGCAAACAAAAAAGATTAGACAAAGGACTGAAAGAAAGACAAAATATCCAGGTGGTGGTGGTACACACCTTTAACTCCAGCACTCGGGAGGCAGAGGCAGGCAGGTCTCTGTGAGTTCCAGGCCAGCCTGGTCTACAAAGCAAGTTCAGGACAGCCAGAGCTGTTACACAGAGAAACCCTATCTTGAAAAACCAAAAAAGAAAAGAAAAAGGCAAAATAAAAGATAGATTGGGAGAAAGGAGAGAGAGAAAAGTCCTCATAATTTTACCTCCCAACTCTCCTCCAAAATAGCCATCTGAGTAATTTGTTCTAGACATTACTATACCCCCGCCCCAATACACTGGGGTCTCCTATGTCACTCTTGCTACCCAGGAACTCAATGTAGGCCACAGCCCAAAGTATCTTGTACTAGTTTCAAAGCTTAGGTCTTCCTAGATGATGTTTTTAAAAAAAGCAACTCTGAGCAGGTCTTGGTGGCACTCAGGAAGCAGAGGCTGGCAGAGTGCTGTATCTTGGAGGCTAGCCTCATCTACATAGAAAGTTCCAGGCCAGTCACAAAGCAACCATAAGCTTTGAAAGTACAACCTCACCGAACTACTGAAAGTCTTCACACTTCAGTCAGTTCCCCTTCTCAGACTTTCCTGCACTCCTGCTGAAGAATCCGAGGTTTTGCCCACACTAAGTTTGCTCTACCCTCCAGCTAAGCCTCCAACCCCCACACTTACTTCTTACCCACAGTTTTTACCTTATGACAATCCCTATGGACACCCTACCCTCAAGTCTTACCAATGCTAGGTACTGCTGTCCTGAAACCCCACCTTCCAAGGCAGTCTCCAAAGCTACAGAGAAACCCCCGTCTCAACAAACCAAAACAAATAAACAAACAAAAAACAAGTATTCAAGAAGAGTTACATACAGCCCCTCCCCTCCTGTTTCTTTGTTTGTTTGTTAGTTTTGTTGTTGTTTTTCAGACAGAGTGGCTGTCTGGAACTCGATTTGTAGACCAGGCTGGCCTCTGTTCAGGGATTAAAGGCATTGGCCACCTCATCCAGCTCCTCTTGCTTTCTCCCCGTCTTCTTCAGTGTTCCCTGACCCTTGGAGGAGAAGGGTGGCACCGATGTCCTAGTTTTATGGCTGGGCAATAATTCTCTGTACTATGACTAGTTATGAGTCTCTGCAGTCACCGCTGACCACTGCAAAAAGAGCCTCCTCTAACCGAAGCTGACAGCAGCCGTAACGGGCGGGAACATGGTTATTTAGAAGGCCATTTGAAAGGCACGTCATGTCCATTTAATAAAACAATAAAAAGACACAGCTTTCCTACTAAGGTCTACGGCCTCTCCTTGCTCAGGCTTTTGTCTGCCTTTGCAATGCCAGAAGTGAATTTCCTCCTCCAGAGCAGGCCTCAAATCTAATGAGAAAAGTGGTCCATTACCACCTTAATAGACTCGGCAGTGTTGCACCAACAGGTTGCCTGGTATTGGGGCCCACTGGCTCCATACTGAGTAAGGCTGTTGACCACGATCCTCCCCAAGCAGCCTGTATAGTGCCTTGAGAGTGCTAACTGGGAGGAAGCTTCCAGGCCAGTTCCAGTTGGATTTCTCCATGTTCTGTGGCTAACATATATGATAACTTCAGGGTCTTACCGGTCATTTCGGGTAGGCAACCAACAGCCGTGGCAATTGCCTGTACTGCTTTAGTGGTTTCGGGAGCTTTCCCGGATAACCATCTGTATAGGAGCTCACAGCTGGCACTGGGAGCTCTAACAACCTATGGCTTTGGGGGCGGGGCAGCTTTCTCTACCCACACAGGATACCTCCACTCAAACCTCTTTTAAAATTTTGTTAATTAGCTCCTCAACTTTCTTTGGCTCTTTCATTCATCGCTACGCTTTCATTTTCTTGCCTATTCAAGAATAAACTTTGCTTGTGGGGTTAAGGGAAGGCGGAAAAGAGGGTTGCGGGGAAGGGGGTCAACACTGACGTGTCCATTACCTAAATTGTAAACCGACCGTTGGTGACATCTTGTCGTAGCTGCAAAGCATCCTTTGCCTCACCGAATGACTCGGGTGTGATCGCTGTGCACCTAAGAACAGCCTCGGGGATCCCAACGACCAGCTAAGTTCCTCCCCCAGATGTTGGCATCAGCTTGCCAGCTGATTCATCCGCCATCTGTGGGCGTTAGATTTATAACCCGGGTCTGACAAACAGTTTGAATCCTGGATGGTGGTGATACTCGTCCAAGGTTCCCCTTCCATTGCTGGCTGGCTAGTCAGCCCTTACACAATCTACCTGAGATGTTTCTTCAAGTAAGTCTTTCTCGAAGTTAGAAGCCCTCTTTATTCTCTCTCCTGACTCCCCGCTCCCTTCCCACTCTTTCTTAGAGACTGAAGGGTGCAGCCAGGGTCCTTCACATGCTGAGTAAGTGCTCTACCAGCCCTTCCCTGCCTTTTCCTGGATCACATGATATCCAGTTCAAACACAGTTCTGCCTGCATCGTAGCATCCATTCAACAGATCTGGCAGAAATAAGGGTATTCTAAAGAGAACGTGCGTGCGTGCGTGCGTGCGTGTGTGTGTGTGTGTGTAAAAGAGGAGAGAGAATCTTAGACTAATAAAACAATGGACCCCCCCAAAATAATGGGAATTTCCCACAGAAGATTCCTGATGGGAAAAGGGAAAGGCCTCAGCCTGAAGAGGAATTTGTCTCCCAGATGGAGAATTGACACAGTTCTACCTAATCAGACCACCTTAAAGGATGAGATTGAAGCCCAGTGTTGGGAACCACACCTTGATCTGGCCCAACATTTAAGCCTTAATCTTACTTCAGGACCCCGACCCCAAAGAGCCATTTGTGGGGAGGTTAACTGTTGTGGGGTATTTGTAGACTGTGGGAAGATGTGTCTCTGTGACTGGTTTAATAAAAGAGCTGAATGGTCAATCGCTAGGCGGAGAGGTTAGCGAGAATCCTGGGAACCGAGAGGACTCTGGGAAAAAGAAAGGCAGAGCAGTCAGCCAGACATGGAGAGGAAATAGGTGCAAAATGGGAGATAAACGCCACGTGGTAGAACATAGGTTAATAAAAATATGGTTCGTTTAAGTTATAAGAGCTAGTGGGGCCGGGCGATGGTGGCGCACGCCTTTAATCCCAGCACTCGGGAGACAGGCAGGCGGATCTCTATGAGTTCGAGGCAAGCCTGGTCTACAGAGCTAGTTCCAGGACAGGACCGGCTCCAAAGCCACAGAGAAACCCAGCATCGGGAAAGGAAAAAAAAAAAAAAAAAAAAAAAAAAAGAGCTAGTGGGACAAGCCTAAGGCCAAGCTTTTCTCCGTGTGGTTATTTGGGAACTGGCTTCGCAGGGCAGAAAAAGGCTCACTAGAGTTAACAATCTTCCCAAAGCGGCCGCATTAAGTAAGTAAGTCTCCTTTTCCTGCTTTTCGCCACTTACTGCTCAGATTTTGTGGGTGTGTGTGTGTGTGTGTGTTTCTCTCTCTCTCTCTCTCTCTCTCTCTCTCTCTCTCTCTCTCTCTCTCTCTCTTTTTCTTTTTTTTTTTTTTTTTTTTTTTTGAGACAGGACTTCACTGAGGAGCTCTAGCTGACCTGGAATTAAAGGCGCGAACCACCAGCACACACAGAGGATGGGCGGCTCGCCCTGGCTTGGGGCACTGGTTGTGACCTCTATAAATTCGGTTAACACCCATCGGATCTAATCTGTCCTCGCAAGGTCTTCTGATTCCCGTGACTGAAGAGCCGTTTCCCTCGGGTGTGTGAATTCCAGACCCCCAAGCACGGCTCGTCTCAAGCGGCCATTCTCACAGACCTTCTGGCAGTCTCGCCGATCGACGCTCTAACGCCCGCCGCGTGCTCAGCCGCTCTGGCCGCCGCCACCGAAGCAGGCTGCGCTCCACGGTGACACATTCGCATCCCTGCTTCGGAGTCGACCGCCTTGGCCAGACGTCCTCACAGACCACGCGCTCGCACACACCCAGGAGCCAACCCGGGATTCCCTGCCTGTGGATCCTCCCATCGCAGCCGGCAGGAGGAGGCGCCCGCTCCCGGAACGCCTCTCTAATAAATTCCCGCGACCGCCGCCGTTCCGCATTCTCCACCCCGTGGCCGAGCCGGTGTCTCCCTCTCCGTGTCTCTCTCTGGTCCCAGCGGGTCCATCCCCGGCAGGAGCCGACTGCGCCCGGGCTGTGCGCGTGGATCCCCCCCCCGGCCACCTCGTGGTAGCGCCCGCCCCGCCGCCGCTCGCCGGCTGCTCCTCGGCTCTCCGCCCGCGCGCCCCAGTGATCTGCCGCCGCCTTCGCCGCGTCTGCCTTCCGGATCTCCGCTCGTCCGGTCCGCGCCGAGGCACGGGGAGGAAGGAGCCCCGCAGCGACCCCGGTCCCGCCCGCACCCGCTCGGCCCGGCTCGTCAGCGCGGCGGAGGAGGCGGCGGCGCCCGGCATGTATCAGAGCCCGCGGCGGCTCTGCTCGGCCCTGCTGCTCAGGGACGCCCCCGGCCTGCGCCGCTCGCTCGCGCCCGGCCCGCGTCGCACGCTCGCCCCGCCGGTGCTCGGACCCCGGCCCGCGTCCCCGCGACTGCAGGCGGCGGCCTCGGGCGCCGCTAGGTCGCGTCCCCGGACAGGTGAGTGAGGGCGCCGAATGAATGGGCAGCCGTGGGTGCCGGTCCCCCGCTTCTGGTCGCGGCGGGGAGGAAGCGGGGCGCCGCTCAGGGTGCCAGCTTCGGTATTTGTGTCTCATCTACCTGAAGCTCCGGAGGCCACGGTCACCGCCAGATGCTCGCATCTTTTGCTTCGCTTTACCCCCGGATGCAGGGTAGTTACGCTTCGCTTGCCCAGATGCTTATGAGCATCTTTGGGGGGTGGGGGCCGAAAATGATGCTTGATCGTGGGTTTGAGGGCCTACGGGCTCCGAATCTTCTTTAATCCGCGTTAGTACCAGCACGTGTTGACTTTTTACGGTTTTCTTTTTTTTTGGAGGGGGTGGGTTGGGGCTTCCACTCGTAAATCCCTGGGTGAAGAAATTGTAAATCAGCCTTCACCAGACGCCAGTCCTATATATCACCCTTGTGTTCTGAGAGTCCTCTTTCTGCCTAAGGGCAGATTGTGCGGCTATAAACTACACACAAATTAAGTATGGCTTTTAAATTAATAGTTTCTCCCTCAAATCAAAGCAATTATTTCATGTAGTCTCCTTCAAAACTAGCAATTGCTCCCTAATATTTTTCTAGAAAGTGTAATTTGCCTCTTACCTCAAATTAGGTTATTGCCGTCGAACACGTCTGTATGGCCATCCTTATTTTACTAGGGTACGTTTTGGTGGAGTTTTGGATTGGTTAAAGGACAGATTGCACACTAGGAAGTATAGGTTCATTGAAGCTTTCTTTTTAACAAGACAGGTTCTCGACGTGCGCCTCTGCGCCTCTGACTCTCCTTCTTGAACTGAATTATGTACACCACAGGCTGGGCTCGAACCTCTACCTCCCTAGCAATGGGATCAGAGGAGGGCCGCCACCACCACCCAGCTGGGTGAAGCCAAAACCTTAAACCATAATCACATTTTTTAATTAATTAATTAATTTATTAAAGATTTATGTCTCTTCCCCACCACCTCCCTTTTCCCTCCCCCAATCAAGCCCCCCTCCCTCGTCAGCCCATAATCACATTTTTAGCAGACATTTTGAGTGCCTTTTTTTTTAAATTAAGGTGTTAAATGGGTGTGGTGGCGTACACCTGTAATCCCAGCACTCAGGAGGCAAAAACAGGAGGATCAAGATTTGGAGTGCCTAGGGCTGGAGAGGTGGCTCAGTCCTTGAGAGTATTGCCTGCTCTTCCAAAGGTTCTGAGTTCAATTCCCAGTAACCACATGGTGGCTCACAACCATCTGTAATGAGGTCTGGTGCCCTCTTCTGGCATGCAGACATACACACAGAAAGAATATTGTATACATAATAAATAAATATTAAAAAAAAATTTGGAGTGCCCTCCCACCCCATACCAAAGTAAAAATTAGAATGTTAAACTGTTTTAGAGATGGTGAACTTTTGAGAATCCAGAGCCATGCCCCCACCTCCAGGTCTGTAGAAATTTGGCACATTATGAACTAACTGTTGGGATGCGTATCACCAATAACTGGATTTGGTTGTTTTCAAGAGGAACATTTGAGGGTGGGAAAGTTGTCTGGTACCAGCTCAAATTTTAAATCCCGCCCCTCCCTTCAGAAACCTCATTAAACACATCTGTGAACACAGGTAGCTTGTGATACAGATGCAGAAGAACTGGATAATGGGGGCAGAGTATTTGCAGTGTCAGGCTTCGTAGGATGGCTTATGCATGTCCAGAGGCTTAGGCAGGTGGCTGGCTCTCTTGAATTGAAGACAGCCTGGTCAACAGAGTTTCAGGACAGCCAGGGCCACACTGAGAAACCCTGGGGCTGGCACAGTTAGGGAAGGGGAGGAGAAACCCCTTGGTTTTATGATTTTTAATCCATAGGGTGGGGAAGTGATAGGCTTTAGCACGCACCAAGCCCTAAATTCAGTCTCTGGCAACAAAGAAGGAACTTGTGGGATTGCCCTGTACTTAGACTGTTTTAGACAGTACAGGAGGTGGGCAGCTTTCCTGTTTCTTGTAGTTCTCCCTTCAGCTGTTGGGGGAGACGCTGAGTTATTGCTCCTTCAGTCAAGATCTTTGCACACTATCCCCGCCACGGGTGCTTTAATAGAGATTCTGTAATATATATAATATTGAAGGTTCTAGGCTTTAGGCTATTCAAAAGAGCTTTATATCCATTAAGAGGTAAGATTTGGGGCCAAAGAGATGGTTCGGGTGGTAAAAGATGCTTGCTACCAAGTCTGAAGACCTAAGTTCAATTCCAGGGACCCCTGTGGTAGAAGGACTAACTCCTCCTCCAAGGTGTCCTCTGGCATCTACATGTGCCTGCACACATATACAACATAGAGTAATTTTCAGACTGGTGAGATTTAAGCAGATTTGGTGAGGGTTTTTTTTTTTTGTTTTTTGTTTTTTGTTTTTTTTTTCTTCTTTGACACAAGGTCTTAATGTATATAGTCTTTACTGTCCTGGATCTCTGCATTCAAGTCTTGTGCTGCTTGGCTAGGAGTAGTTTTTGAATTCAAGGCTAGCCTGGGCTGCCAGTAATGAGTTCCAGAACTGTGTGTGCTTCTTCTCACTTCTCCTTAAGGGAGGGGGATTTCACAAAGGTTTGGTTTGGTTTGGTTTTGGTTTTTTTGAGACAGGGTTTCTCTGACTTTGGAGCCTCCTGGAACTAGCTCTTGTAGACCAAGTGGTGGGAGGCAGAGAGAAGCAGGCGGATCTGAGTTTGAGGCCAGCCTGGTTTACGGAGCTAGTTCCAGAACAACCAGAGAAACCTTGTCTCAAAAAAACAAGCAAACAAAAAAAAATTTTTTGAATGGTTGTACCCAGGTTCCATATTATTGAAGAGAAATAGCAGAACCCCAAATTCCTTTATTTCTTCTTGCTCACTTTTTAAATCATTTTTAAATCTTCGTATGTTTTTTATGCCACACATGTGGGAGTACCCGAGGAGCCCAGAAGAGGGCATCATATCCTGGGGCTGGAGCTAGGGATGGTTCTGCGACCGCCTGATCTCAGAGAGTCCTGGAAGAGCTGCAGGACTCAGCTGTCTCCAGCCCCTCCACCTTTGCTTTTCTCTCTTAGGGTTAGGCCTAGATCCTTGCTCGTGTTAAGTAGATTTTTTTTTTCCTTTTTGAGAAAGGGTCTTATGTTGTCTAAGGCTGATCTTAAACTTTCTTTGTGGCCACAGATAACCTCAATTCTCTGATTATTATTCCTTTACAGACATGGGCCACTAGGCCAAGCAAGCAGGCTGCCCCTAAGTGCCCCAAACAAGTCCCCCAACACATTCATGTCTCACTTGCATTCTGCCATTGGATGTACTCAGGGAATGAACGCAGCCCCTTTTGAGTTCCCACATATTATATTGCATGGGCTTAAAAGGGAACCTTGGGGGGTGATCTTAGCAGCCCTGTCGCTTTCCTCTAAAGCAAAGACAGCATCCCTCAATGAGGCAGCAGTTGCCACCGTGACTGTGCTGTGGTCACCTGTGGGCTTGGAAATGCTGTTCTCCTGTCTCTCCCTCCTCGTTGGTTCATGAAGAGTCCACCGCTGGAACACTGCCTTTTTTTTTTTTTTCCTGAGTTCAGTTTTAGAGGTAAATACCAGCTCCGTTGAGAAGCAGCTTTATTTAGTAGGCCCCTAAGCTATGTGAGGAAGCTGTTTATGAGAAAGAAGGAACGGGAAAGCTTGTAATTTATCAGACTTCTACAGAGTAAATGCTTTTCTTGTGGAGGACTGAGGTAGCGTTTCCCTGTAGTGTTCAATGGTAAGTTTAAATATAGGCCAGGGTTAGGGGGTGGGGGTGGGGTGGGGGGTGTTAACAACCGTGGCTCTAGAATCAAAATCAATGCACGGACATTTGCAAATCCTTTGACCTTGCTGGCTGTGTCTTCACGCCAGAGGTCATCTAGAAGAGATTAGCACATCAGCTGCAGCTGATAGCACTGTATCTACTAACTGTGGAACTGAATACCTACTGGTCCACACGCTGTTCCCAGCAGGACTTGAACAGTCATCGCTGCCGGATTTGTTGGGGGAGAACTTTGAAGCCCTGGAAGAAGAGAGTGCCCACTGGAGAAGGGGTAGTGGTGGGACAGGGAGAGCACTTCAGGAAATGCACTTTTAGTGTCAAGTGCACAGTTACAGATTTGTTTCCTCAAAAGACACCTGATGAATTCTGTTCAGCAAGTGTCTCCCGTGCTTCCATGGGGTCAGGGCCATTTTCTGAGCTTTACCAAGGGATTCTTTTCTCCTCTCTAATTTTATTTTGTGTATGGGTATTTTGTTTGCATTTATGTCAGTGCACCATGTACATGGGCGCCTGAGGAGGTCAGAAGATCCTGGGTTTCCTGGAATTGGAGTTACTGGGTGGTTGTAAGCCACTATATAGGCCCTGGGGAAGAGCAGCAAGAACCTTACCTTCAACGCCAGCTGCTACTTAGAAGTGTAAGGCACCATGGAGAAGATTCTGAAAGAACAAGCTTTGCCTGAAAGACAACTGTCCTAGTGTCTTGGAAAAAGGAGGAAGAAGGGAGATTGACAGCCGCATGTTAAAGGTTACCTCTGACTCTCAGAACTTAACAGGGCTTCTGTAGCCTCTTAAATCGTGGTCATTGTACTTCAGGAAATACTTGAAACTTGAGGAATGATCCACCTGGGTGTTTAGCCCAGGTAAAACCATTTGGTAACCTGGTTGTCTCTTTTGTGTTTTGTTGGTTTTTGCCGTGCTGAGGGTTGACTTGGGAGCCTTTCTTACACATGGCAGACAATTCTGAGGCATTGAGCTACATCCCTAGCCTTTAGATTTGTTAGGTTCTATACTAGGGTCTTCCTGTAGAAGGAAGACTAACTAATGGCCTTGAGTAACACTTGAAACGCTCTCAAGGTGAACTCAGCATGTCAGATTAGACCAGAGTGTTCGGAGAAAGATGAAGAGTACAAATGTTCAATGAACATTTTCTTTTTCCCCCGTGTCAGAAAATGTCAGGGGCCCACTCGGGTTTTCTGA